CTTACGGGTTCCGCCGCCGCCGCCGTCGCCTCCAGTTAATAAAAATAACGCCGTCCTCTCCACAATGGAATTAAAAGCCTCCCCGCTTCTGCGCAGCCGCGGCGCGGTGTCTGCCGGGAACTCCTCGGCCGGACCAGAGGGGAGCTCTAGGGGCTCAGTGCGCCTGCGCCGCAGTTTCCGCCTGGCCGGCCTGTCAATCAAGGGGGCGGTTGGGCGGAGCTGCTGGGGGCTGGGCAGGAGGGGCGGGGACTTCAGAGCCCGACCGCGGAGGGGCTTCCGCAGCCAGGGGACGTGATTGGTGGCTGCGTCGAGGGGCAGAGAGCGGCTGAGGGTTTCTGGGGGAAAAGACGCTCAGGAGGTGGAACCCCGAGGGGCGGTAAGTCGGGGGGACGCCGGGAGAGCGTGTGGCAGCGTGGCGTGGCGTGGGAGCCGCGGAGAAAGGGGCTGGAGAAGGTGGAGAAACTGAGGACCGGGCTTTGGAACTTTCTTCGCGTTAGGGTTTGCAGTCTAGGTATTGAATCAAAATCACACCTAGAAAAGGATTCCTTGAGCACTTGTGATTCTGTCTGAACGCATTATACTCGCAAGAGCATTGATTCCAGATACCTGTTGCCCTTCCTTTCAGATGGGGACGGTAATAACGCGTCTTTCCATTTGCTGGAGGAGCCTTTGAGACCGCCATAGAGGTACCGTTGCAAAAACTTGTCTCACTGCCAACCTACCTGAAGGCTACTGCAGAGGGAAACCACGTGTAATCCCAGGTGCAGCCGTCCTGTAAAACACGCCCACACATACTTCATCATCAGATGGTATTTAAATGCCACATACCTTCTCAGTTGTCTGCGTTGGCTTGTCACGTTGCTTGCTCTCTAGCCTCATCTGTAAAATACTGGCCATTGTTATTTTCTAAGATCTCTGCTAGGACACATACCCCACCCTCCCGCCCATTTCAGTAATAGAAGGCCTAGAAACTCATGTAAAATTGCCCATTATTCAGTTGAGGGAAAATCAGGTAAAATCTTGAAATTAAAGTTCTACCAACAAGCCGGGCAGTGGTGGCACACATCTTTAATGTGCTGGGAGGCAGAGTCAGGCAGATTTCTGCCAGGCCAGCCTGGTCTACAAAGCGAGTTCCAGGACAGCCAGAGCTATTACACAGAAAAACCCTGTCTCAGGGAAAAACAACAACAAAACTCTACCAACAAAACCAAATAAGTATTTCCTTAGTGCCTAATAATGTGTAAAAGGCGCTCACTTTCACAGTGAGCATGCAAAAATCTAAACCAGTAACTTTCCTAGGAGTATTTATACATCACTGACATTTTTAATAAAAGGACCTGGGCAGTAGTTGTTTACATGGTATTACATGTTTTCTTAAAGAAATTGCAGCCCGTTTTCTCATAGTGTTTCACTAGATGACTTCTTGCAATTAAAGAACTTCCCTGACAAATTTCACAATTAAAACCATAAAGAGTATTCTTTACTTCCACAGGCCTCTCTGAGTCTGCCTGGAAAAGTTAAAAAACTGTATTTTATGAGTAGTTTGATGTGGCATTGTACCTTTCTAACCTATGCAACTACATGTAAGTATTTCCTGCAACTGTCAAGTATAGCTAAGTGTTAAACACTGAAAATTCAAAAACTTCAGGCGGTAATAAAATGCTAGTCGGTGCCAGTGAGAAATGAGGCTGTCCCTTTATTCGGGGTGTCAGTGTTTAATAGTAAGCTGGGATGCATATAAGCTAGCCCAAGCATGAAGGGCAGTAGGACACTCATATGAGAAGCCAACTTTGTCCCTCAGTTATCAAGATAAGAAACCTGTCATTTCTCTCATTCACTCTGTCAGCCTTGAGCTACTCCAAGCAGACTTACCTCTGTGTTGTACACCCCATACATCAAGAAGATGAAGAGACCCTGTAAAATAAAATGGAGGGCGAAAGCTGTTAACGCTAATCATTCCAGCAGTGGAAATACCTGAAATAAACTTTCCTGGGAACAGACAAAAGAAGACACACTTCATCAAGGTCGATTTATTTTCCCGTTTTTCACCATTAGAAGCTGTACCTTGAGCATTTATACGACAACGCACCAGCACATCACTTACACTGCTTGTGCTCTTCAGTTCTTCAGGGATAGAAAATAAAAATAGCATCCAACTACATAAAATTGTAATTGGGGAAATCAATGTATCAGTTTCTGGGAGGCAGCTGGGGGATGAAAAAGATGAAAGTCGGGATATCATCAAAGTAATATTAGAAACAGCACTAGCCATTAATATTTCTAAGCACTGCTTTAGGCTGCAGCAACTTCAGTATATTTGTTAAAAATCTTTGATGCTACAAAATTGGGAAATAATTGGAAGATTAAACACTAGGGGTTACGGACATAGTTCAGTGGTACTGTGATTACCTGCTGTGGGTAAGGCTATAGGCTTGAACCCCAGTACCAGGAAAAACAGCCAGCCTCCTTCGGACCCTCAAAAGTAAAGAGATAAATAGATGATAGGGGACTTCAGATGTAGCTCAGCAGTTAACTGTTGCTCTCGCAGAGGATCAGGGTTCAGTTCCCAGGGGATCCTGCAGACATGCGCAAGGTGCACAAGCATGAATGCACGTGAAAATTCATACACATAAAGTAAATAAGTCTTCAAAAGAAGATAATCAATATGCACTGTCGGTTCATTTCAGAGTCTCACTATATAGTCAAGGCTGGTCTTCAATGCCTGTTCTTCCTATGTCTGCCTCCCAAGCACTGAAGTCAGAGGCTTAAGTCACCGTACCCGGAAGTACAAATAATTTTTTAAAATGACACTTAATTTTAAAAAAGATTTCATTTGTTTGAGACAAGATCTCTCTATGTAGACCAGGTTGACCAAGAACTCACAGAGATCCACCTACCTCTGCCTCTCCAGTGTCTCCCAGTTTTCTTAACTGCTGAGCCATCTTTCCTGCTCCTAAAATTAAGACTTAAAAGGGCTGGAGATGTTGCTGGTGCTAGAGTGCTTACTTAGCATGTACAAGGCTCTGGGTTTGATTCTCTGGTCTGCCAAAAAGTCGGGGGGAAGCTTTTGTTTGTAACTCAGTCAGTGGGTTTAAGATATCAGTTCCAGTTAAGACAAAACCTTACATTATTAGATTTCATGCTACAGTCTAATTATGTTCTATATGTGCTTACTAGCCTTTAGTTTAGAAATGTTTAATTAGGTGGGCTTGGTGGTGCAGGCCTGAAATCCTAGCTACCCTGGAGGTGGAGGCAGGAGAATCAAAAGTCCAGCTGGCTAATTTAAGGAAATCCTGTTTCAGAATCAAAAGATAAATACAGAAAGGACCGGGGATACAGGATGGTGGTAGAGCCCTTTTGTAGCATGTGTGAAGAAGCCCTAGGTTTAATCCTCAGCACCAGTCAAAATAAGACAAAATTGTAAAATACAAATTAAACTTCACTTTTATAGACCAGACTGGCCTCGAACTCACAGAGTTCTGCCTTCTGAGTGCTAGGATTAAAGGCGTGCTCCTCCACTACCTATTAAAAAGTCACTTGAACCTAAAACTCTTGGGCGAAGAGGTGTGGTGTACTCCTGTAATCACGGCACTGGAGACACAGAGGAGGGCAGATCTCTGTGAGTTCAAAGCTAGGCTACATTGTGAGTCCAAGGCCCATCAGCACTATACAGTGACGCTGTCTCAAAACCAACAAAAACAAAACCTAAACATAGCCGGGTGGTGGTGGTGGTGGTGGTGGTGGTGGTGGTGGTGGTGGTGGTGGTGGTGGTGGTGGTGGTGGTGGTGCACACCTTTAATCCCAGCACTCGGGAGGCAGAGGCAGGTAGATCTTTGTGAGTTCAAGGCCAGCCTGGTCTACAGAGCGAGATCCAGGAAAGGAGCAAAGCTACAGAGAAACCCTGTCTCAAAAACAAAACAAACGAACAAACAAAAATCCACCTAAACATCTTAATATATGGAAGTTAATAAAACTGATCTGCCAGGCCAGCAAGGTGGTTCAGCAGACAAAGACGCTAGCTAGCAATGCCTCTTCCACTGATAATTCCCTTTCCAATCTCTTTTTTTTTTACACTGTGTGTGTGTGTGTGTGTGTGTGTGTGTGTGTGTGTGTGCGCGCACGCCGCAGTTTTCCACTGGCTCCACAGGGATTTCATGAGTCAGACTCCAGTAGTCAGGCCTAAGACCAAGCATCTTTACCCACTGAGTCAGGTCACGAGGCCCAGGTCACTCAAATTTTATTATTGAAGTAGGAATATTTTACTTTGTGCAATAAATGAATTCCACGATCAAATCAAACTTCCTGAATATTACATAATCCAAGTTATGACATCTATATTAGGAACCCAGCTGTTTACATAAAATCTAGAGTTTGAAAATCAAATAACTCTTCTGTGACCATTCATATAATTTATATGTAATTTCGTAAGGTCAGTTTTCTCTAAAGGAAGGGTTAAGAAAAATCATGTTTTCCCTCACGTTCTGGTAAACAGGGCAGTATGTGAAGGGTGACCCAGAGTTCCTCACTGGGCTTCTGTCTCTGTTACTTATTTTAAATCGTGATGTAGTTAATGCTCTCCTTTTTGAAAACAGGGTCTAGAGTGGAAGTAGGTTTTGGACACAGGCAGTTTCAATCTCCACGTTTCCTTTTTCTCTGTGTTTTTTGTTTTCTCCTCCACCCGACAGACTTTGCACATGCCAGCAGACCCCGCTGTGGCTTCCACAGACCACGCGAAAGTCTGAACCTCAAGATACCCCAGGGGTTCTGCGACTCTCTTGAGGCATCTCCCACATGCTGCCACAGCCGTGGAAAGTAATACATTAAAACTAGGACTCATTTGTCTGTAGGTCCGGCACAGGGTGGAATGTTCCCCACAGTATCACCAGCTGCTGGAGTTCTGATCACATACTGCCTTCTGACTCTGCAGATTTCATAAACTCTCGTGGTGCAAACACACCTCTTCTCCATGCATAGACTCAAACAGAGACATTTGTACATCAGCATCTGGAGTCATAGTGGTTCATTGCATTTGCAGCCAGCAGAGAAAAATACCTTCAAGCACAGCTGGAGGGGACCAGCTGCCAGTCTTTAACCGGCACTGAGATTTCTGGAACTTCCACACCAACTTTCCGTCTTCCTGCACAGTGCCACATTTCCAGGGTGAAAGAGCCCTCACACCTGGAGAGTGCTTCCCGCCAGGAAATCCACAGGCATGTCCATCCCGAGTCTACATGTGCCAAGATGTAAATGACTTACATAAGTGCGTTAACCTGTAGGGATCCTAGCGTCCTCAGCATTCTGGTGGCAGGAATTCACGGGAAGCACCCAGAACGCAGCCAGATTCCTGCGAGCAGGTGTGTAGTTTGTGGGTAGGAGCCAGGACCGGGAAGAGAACACCGGGTGTCACATCTGATACTCTACAGGCGCTAAATATAGCGATGTAAGGGAAAGGGGAAAAACACGCCATCTCTGTCTCACTTATCGGCGACACGTTGAAAAGCAGGGCAGCTTTGTGCTTGTTTTCACAGTTGCACAAGTCCACTGGGCCACTGCTGTGACAGGGTCAGTGACGGATGCGAGTCTGTTGTTTTATTTTATGTTCTTGATTACTCTGTGCTTCTGCGGTCCATTTCAGGACTTTTTCAAAGCCCGTATCTTTGACATGATAACGCGTTCTTTCTTGGCGATACAAACAGCAGGGCGGTGGCACTCAGCACACAGGGCGGTGGCACTCAGCACAGCGTGTGCCCAGGAAAGAGTAACACAGATAATGCTAATGTATGGATAACATTCTCATTGTACTTTGATTTACATAATTCCGTTTGTTCGTCCGTCCGCACGTGGACACCGCAAAGGGGGAGGGAGGCTTTGAGGCTTGCTCCAGGTGTCCCACCACAGACAGGTTGGCCGAGCCTTTGCCTCCTTATATCATTAATACTCTTCCCTGGCCTTGAATAGACCCATCCATGGTTTTAAGTCACCAGCTTCAGAGTAATGCAACGGTGAGGCGCTTAAAATTTAGGCCTGTGGCATCAGGGGTGTAGCTGACTCGGGGCAGTGCTAGCTGAGCATGGACAAAGCCCTGGGTTTGATCTCCAGCACCTCATAAAACTGCTCCTGATGGATGTAATACCGGCACTCATGGAGGCAAGAGGACCAGAAGCAAAGGCTATCCTCAGCAACATGGCGTCTTTGAGCACAGCCTTGGCATCATGAGACTGTCTCAAAATAAAATAAATATTATGAAATGTAAATAAATAAGTATCAGGCTTACCAAAAGCATATTATAGCTGGATGTGTTAGCTCGTGTCTGTAATCCCAGCATTCAGAGGAGGCTGGAGGTTCCCAAGTTGAGTATAGCCTTGGCTACAATAAGAAAGTATAAGCCAGCAAGACCCTGTTTCTAAAATAAATTTTTTTTAATTAGGGAAAAGAAAAGCATATTGCAGGTTCCTCCCCCCCCCCCCCCCCACCATTGTGCTTGTTTTTGTTTTATTTTGCGGCACTGGGAACAACTCCAGGCCCTCAAACGTGCTAGGCAAGTTCTGTCCACTGCGTTAGTCCAACTCTTGGCCTGTTGAGATAGGCTCTTACTATGTAGCCCAGGCTAGCCTGGAACTTGCAGTCGTCCTGCCTCTTGCCTCTGCTTGCTGAGTACCAGGCTCACCCCCACCACACCCAGCTTGGCTACTGATTTTGGAGACAGACTTTTCCCACTGCAGCTAAGTCTTAACTCTAGCTGGCTTTGAACTTCCAGTTCTCCTTAGTTACCCTCCTGTATCACGTGCTCAGTTACTTCAAAGTTTGAGTAGCTCACAGGGTCAGGGGTTCAGTGTCAATTAATAGTGCTTCAAATAACCCGGCTTTCCTTCCAATCTAGCAAGCAAAACAGGAAACATGCTTCGTAAGAGTGACTCTGAAGCTATGGGCCAGGTTCTGTCTCCTGTTCTTTGCTAATGAATTCACTCATTCAGTGATACATACCTTCCCTTCCAGTTGCTAGGAAACACTTTCCCATCAAAGACTGCTAGGTACCTACACAGTTAGATATTATCATACTTTTATGAATTTTTTGAGTTGTTTTGTTGTTGTTTGTGAGTGTGTGTGTGCGTGTATGTGTGTTTGAGACAAGGTCTTATTCTGGAGCCCAGGCTGATTTTAGGATCAGCTTGATTTTACGATCCTTCTTCCTGCCTCAGTCTCTCAAGTACTAGGATTACAAGCATGTTCTACCACACCCAGCATCCTTTGCTGAATTTCTTTGACTGTGTGGTATCTCTTTATTCTTTATATCTTTTAAATAAATCATGCTCCAACCTACTTTCTATAAGTAGTTCCTGTTGGGAGCACATCTCGTGGGAACAAAACCATCACTGCACAAGTCTGCACATTTCAAGTTGTCTCTTGAAGCTCTGGGCACAGAGGCAGAAAACTAGACATTTAAATGCCCCTCAACAAACGGGTGGCTGAATAAATTGTACTACCTTCATCCCTGGGAACATTAGGCAGCTAGAACAATGGGTTAAGGCTGTGTTTATTAGCTACATGTTATATGTTCTCATGCAGTTATTTTGTGTGTATGGTGGGGGTGGCAGGGTACACATGTGAAGATCAGTGGTCAATTTCTGGGAGTCTCTTCTCTCCTTCTATGTGGAATCCAGGAATTAAGCTCATGCTTTCAGGTTTCTATTAGCTAAGTCATCTTGGGACACTTTGTGCTCATCTTTATAAAAGAAAAACACTTCCTTTTCTCACTCCACCTCTCAGGGGGTAAACCGGGGAAGGATATGCTCACCAGAGGGCCACTGGCTTCCTAGTGGGAAGCCAGAGAAGGGAGGAGGCAAGCCAGAAACACGCATGCCAGGAAAACTGGAAAACATACCACTGTTAACAATCTAAGGCAGGCCAAAGTGCATCTCATGTTTTGTATCTTGCTACTGTAAATCCAGAAGATAGGATCTGCACTTAGATAAGGATCTAAACATGTTATCTAGTAGCCATGGGACACTGGCCCCAAGATACCCCCCTGCTTAAAGGAGCTCCCTGCAGAATGCAATACTAAGACAGGGGACCTGACCACCCAGAGAGCCAAGGGACTCGATGAGGTGGGGCATACAGTATGGAAATGCTGGATCAAGGAAGGATTCACATCTAGGGCAGAATGGCTCAAGATATTTCTTCACACTGGGACTGGAGAGGTGACTCAGCAGTTAAGAGCACTGGCTGCTCTTCCAGAAAGGATCATAGTTCGATTCCCTGCATCCACATGGCAGCTTACAACCACCTGTCACTTCAGTTCCAGTGGATCTGACACCCTCTCTGGGTTCTGGGAGCGCTAGGCCCGCATGTGGTATACAGACACGCATGCAGGCAAAACACCCATACACATAAAAAACCAATTTTTAAAAAGATTTCACCATAGAATAGCACACTTTGAAATTGGTGAATTACGTATTTCTAGAATTTTTCATTAATATTTTGGACCAAGGTCAACCATGAGTAATTGAAACCAGGCTGTGAAACTATGTTTAAACGGGCACCACACACATATAATAGACAGTTAAAAATAAAATCTGAAAGAGATCAGAGGTCTGGAGAAAGACACAGAATAACTATCAGGGATTTTATCATCATATATGTATATCTCTATAAAATATACATACAACAAATCCATTAAAAATAAGTCTAAATAGTTCCACTTGTTAAAACTCATTGTCGTCACTATACAAAATAGTAATCGAGAAAAAGCCCCTGTGTGTGTGTGTGTGTGTGTTTCACTTTATAGCACCCAAACTGGCCTTAAATACATGTTCCTGCCTCGGCCTCCTGAGTGCTGGGATCACAGGCATCTGTCACCACTCCTGGTTTTACGGACTGCTGGAGATCAAGCCCAGAGCTTCAAGGATGAAAACACTCTCCCAATTGATAGATGAAAAGAAACAGGGCTGGGAGATGGCTCTGAAGGCAAGAGCATCGGCTCTGTGGCCAGGAAACCTGAGTTTGAGTTCCTAGCGCCTACATAAAAGCTGGGCGAGACGACCTGTGCCTGTAACCCCAGCAGTAAGGCCTTGGGGACAGTGGAGATGGGTAAATCTTGAGAGTTCCCTGGCCAGGCAGCCTAGCCAAAACAGCCAGCTTCCAGTCCAGTGGGAAGCCCTTTGTCAAGGAAACAAGGTGGAGAGAGATAGAGGAAGACCTTCAAATCCTCTTCCAACTTCCACGTGTCCGTGCACACACACACACACACACACACACACACACACACACACACACACACACACACACACACACACAAGAAATGCTTACAGGAGCTAGTCATACAGTGGTCCACACATCAGTCTTTCCAGGGGAAAAGACTGGGTTGTGTGAGGGAAGTTAAATCTAGTGAGTTTCTGCCTCCTTTGCGTCGAGCATGTGATAGAACTGTTTCTGAAAATCTGATGATTGAAAAAGGAGGAGGCAGTGTCATGAGAGAGGCCCCAGGCGGGGCCAGAACATTACAGAAAAAGAGTCTATGGGGGCACAGTATGGAAGGCATTTGGTGCACCTCCATCTTCCGGGGGATCAGAACTGCCAGGGCTCAAAGTTTGAGAGAGAAGAGAAGGAGGTAAAACTGGAGAGAGAGAGAAGAATCGGGTTATGAAGGTCTCGCATGTCAGGTAAGAAATTCAGCTATTCTTCTTTAAGAATGGGGGGGGGGCGGTCACTAAAGAATTTCAATTGAGAAAGTCATGTGGTCAAATTTCAAAGATAAATATTAAACTGGGGTGGAGCATGTAGCCGTGTGGCCATGCATGCACCTCCCAAGCGCTGTCGAAACAAACAGCAGACTCCCCAGCAGTGGAGGTGGTCTGAGGTGGCCCAGGTTAGGCACAAGGTGACCTGTTAGGGCGGTCCAGCTATGAGAGAATCCGAACTCAGGACACGGTTGTGCGAGTTTGAAGCTTTGGGAAGTGCACACTGGGTGTGGATGCTAACAGCACGGGGGACCTCTAGGACAGAGCCAAGGCACAGGTGACTCTGGGATTTCTGGTTTCTGTGATGGGCCGGGTTCGCGGTACTGTTTTTGCAGAGAATTAAATAGAAAAGCATGCATGTTTCTCGGAGGGTGTGCGGGCTAGTTTTTAATGTCAGCTTGACACGGCTGGAGTCATCTAAGAGGTGGGAAGCTCAGCTGGGAAAATGGTGCCGTAAGACCGGGCTATAGGCAAGCCTGGGGGGCATTTTCTTGATTAGGGATTGATGTGGGAGGGCCCAGTGCATTATGGGTGGGGCCATCCCTGGGCTGGTGGTCCTGGTTGCTATAAGAAAGCAGGCTGAGCAAACCATGGAGAGCAAGCCAGTGAGCAGCACTTCTTACTGGCCTCTGCATCAGCTGCTGCCTCCAGGTTCCTGCCCAGATCGCCTTTGATGGTGAACTGTGACATGAGAGTGTAAGCAAAATAAACGCTTTCTTTCCAGAATTTCTCTTGGTCATGGTGATTTATCACAGCAATAGAAACATTTAGACAGAGCAGGTAAGAAGATTCCATTTGGAGTGCGAAGGTGATGTGTGTGCCTTTGAGAGAACGTTGGGAAGGGACGTAGATATGGGAAACCCCAAAGTACAGGAAGTTAAAGCTGGCAGTCACAAAGTGTGCAAAAGAAGGCGATAGCTTTGGAGAGTTCTGGAAAGTATCAACCCTCGAGAGACAAGCAGAAAGGAAAAAAAGAAAAAAAAAAACTAGTGAAGAAGCGATTAGATAAATAAAAAGAGACTTTTGCCTGCCATGATGGTATACACTTTTAATCCCAGCACTCAGGGAGCAGAAGCAGGTGGATCTCTGAGTTTCTAAGCCAGCCTGGTTTACGTGTTAAGTTCTGGGTCAACTAGAGAGCTATTTGGTGAGACTGAGCCTCAAAAATAATTAATTAACTAATAGTATAGGTAAAAAGGCTATTTGGCTTTGCGTGGAAACATGGAGAGAGTTCACCAGAGGGAAATGCTTAGAGGCAAACAGAGGTTCAGGCCTTAGACTCGGAAACCAGACTCCCTGGGCTCCAGGACAAACTCTGGCGCTTACCTACGCAAGCTTGGGAAAGTTAGTTAAATTCCATTGTTCCTGCATTTCATCGTCTATAAAAGGTACACAATGGCTGTACCTATCGCTCAGAGCTGGTGTGGGGATTAAGTAAATTGCATTTGGGAAGTGCTTAGAACTTTTTAGCAGTTGGGACAAGGTAATCGCTGTGTGAGTGAGTGACTGGTAGATTGTCACAGTAGTATCAAATACTAAAGTACCTGAAAACGCCACTGGATTCTGGACTTAGCAATTCATTCTATTTATATTTGAGTAGCTACTATATGTCAGGGCACTAAAGATAGAGTTATGAACGAAACCCTGACCTTGCCCTTGAAAGATCTAATGTTCTGGTGAGCAGCCGTGATTAATACGGTGCATGGTTCCTGTCCCCTACGCCTCGTCTCTCCACGCCTAGGCTGCAGCACCGTATGTTGCAGAAACTAATGCACAGCACAGAGGAGGTAAGCCAGCCTCCAAGCTGGAAAGGGACAGCCCCAGGATCTGACTGAGTTCAACAGGTGCCCTAGCCTCTACATCTTACCATTTCTGGATGGCTGCTGGTGACCTCGGTAACAGTTTTAGAAGCCTGGTGGGGCAATACTTAGAAAGCAGTGAACGGAGTATTGAGTAGACTCTATACAGCAAAACCTCTCCCCAGAGGGGCAAAGTAACAAAGCTATAGATTGGCGGTGGCCTTGGCTCGTCAGTGGCAGAGTAAGAAATGTTGATTTAGTTAAATCAAGTGTGTTCTTTGGTCAAGTCTTTCTCCAATACCTGTTTCCCCAGTGACGTTGCAGTGAGCGGTGTGGTAGCCAGTTCAATATGAACCTCTCTGGTAAATGGTTTATGTCTGACATTACTTATCGAAGCAATGTAAGTTGGCTATCAGATGGACACATAGCAGACCCTCATTCTATAAGTAAAAAAAAAAAAAAAAAAAAAAAAAAAAGAATCAAGCAGGGTGGTAGTGACACACACCTTTAATCCCAGCACTCAGGAGGCAGAGGCAGGCTGATCTCTGTGAGTTCGAGGCCAGCCTGGTCTACAGAGCAAGTTCTAGGACAGCCAGAGCTACACAGAGAAACCCTGTCTTGAGATAAATAAATAAATAAATAAATAAATAAATAAATAAATAAATAAAAACAAAACACCGCCACCGCCACCACCACCACCACCACCACCACCACCAACAACAACAACAACAACAAAAACCAAAATACCCAGAGAGAATGGATTGTATTCTCCACTAAATTTAAAATTACTAAAGAGATCATTTGGGATCCTGATGTTTTGCTAAGTCAGAGAGAACAACACAGAGACTCCTTTTAGCCTGTCCTTGGCTGGTCTCAGGAACCTGCATTTTGTTGTTGGCTATTGGCTAATTTTCAAGTTTTCTTCCTGAGGACAGAACTGAGGGTCTCAATGCATGCTAGAGAAGCTTGCTGCTATTGGCCCAGCTGTTTTGTGTCTTGAGATAGGGAATCACTATGTAGTTGAGGCTAGCCTCGAATTTAAGATGCTCCTGTTTTTGGCTCCTGGGTGCTGCGTGAACTTGCTCAGGTGTAGCAGGTTTTTGTCTGTTTGGGGTCTCCCCCTCGCCAGACAGGTTTTCTTTGTGTAGCCCTGGCTGCCCTGGAACTTGATTTGTAGACCAGGCTACAGAGATAGACCTGCCTCTGCCTCCAAATGCTGGAGTTAAAGGCGTGTGCCACCGCCGCCCGGCTGCTTTTTTGTTTTTGTTTTTTTACAGTTAAAGTGATTTGTCATATGTGATTTAGGACATTACCACGTTATAGGTCTAAGCTACAGGATTTCAAAATATAGTTTAAATATATAAACCAGTGCCCCCTCATTTGCAAATAGAAGAGCCCTGCCTTCAACCAGGAGGGACAAACAGAAGGGAAGGACACTTGCCAAAAGGATACTGGGCTAGCTATCAGAGTTGAATCAATAATTGCACAATTAATTCTCAGGATGGCCAGGAGGTCTCTGGTTGCTTCTCTTTTGTTCTCTGGAGGGAGATGTGTCCCACAGAAGTGGGCTCTTCCGGTTCCCATGAGATGAAACAGCTTTTCCCCTTCAGCTTTTGAGGAACATCTGGCTCCATCCCACTCACCTGGCTATCAGTAGCCCGATCTCTACAGTCCAGGGAGTGAGCAGTTGTGAGAGGCTCTGGCTTGTTTACAAGTCTATCAGCTAGCCAGTCTGATTAGAACAGCAGGGCGGCGTAAGATGGGTGCCTCTCTTCCTGCCGCCCATCTACAGCCAGGGCAGGGGGAAGAGAAGACAGGAGTCCCAAGGTTGGGTTCACTATGGTTCCCCCAGGACTCACAGATTAGAAGGCTCGAAATCAGTGTGCTTGTTTGTAAGCATCGAAGAAAGCCGCACCAACGTCAAGGAAACATGAAGTTGAATGCTAAAGGGTCCCAGGAAGCCCGGGATTCTGAACCTTATTGAAGGAGAAAAGAGGACCGGTTCGATGAGTCGGTGATAAAGGAGCTTGCCTCCCAACCCCGCCAACCTGGGTTCAATCCTCAGAACCCACCTGGGGAGGAGAAAACACTGACTCCTGCAAGTTGACCTCTGACCTTCACACTCACACCCCTCTCAATCAATAAGTGTAATTTTTTTTTAAAGCAAAAGAGAAAAATCACTGATTAATGAGAGCTCTCATGCCAGAGATGCAAAGACAAGGTGAGGAGAATTTATAAGATGAAATTTGTTGTGTGGACCACCTTCCTAAGGTCTTTCTATTTTCTGCTGAGTGCACAAGTAGTCAATTACTCCGGAAAATGGTAGAGTTTTCAAAAGAACTCTAAGGGTTAAAACCACCTTAAAAGTTAATGATGAGAGATGGACAGGAATGACCACAGGGGAGTTAGGAAACAAGATACTAAATAGCCCTGGATGAGGGTTTCCCCCCCCCGGCAGTGGCGCACACCTAAAACCCCAGCACTCGGGAGGCAGAGGCAGGTGGATCTCTGTGAGTTCGAGGCCAGCCTGGTCTACAGAGTGAGATCCAGGACAGGCACCAAAGCTACACAGAGAAACCCTATCTCGAGGAAAAAAAAAAAACAAAAAAAAACCAACCCCCCCCCCAAAAAAAAAGAAAAAAGAAAAAAGAGAGAGTTCTCCAGAGGAGAAGCAAGAAATAGCCAGTGAGAGCAGAGGTGGGTGGTGGGGGGAAAAAACTTGCTCAAAAAAGAAACGAAAAAAGTCATAGCATTTGACAAGGACTAAGGAGCTGTGAATGTTTAAACATAGGGCAGAAATAGAACTGAATATCTTTCGTGATCGTGTGGAAGACAGGGGCTCTGGGGTCCAGATTCTGGACAGAGCAGGAGACAGGTGAATGTAAGGTGAATGTAGGAAGGAAAGATCATGAGCACTGGCTTTCAGATAGGCAGACAACTAAAAAGGACAATTCAGGTTCCATCATTCACATGTTATTTATTATTGTTGTTGTTGGCATTATTATCATTATTGACAGATCTTAGGGAGCCCAGTGTGACCTTGAACTCCTGATCCACCTGCCTCCACCTCCAGAGTGCTTTAATTACAGACACGTGAACTGGCAGCTCACATTATGGGTACAGAAGTGAGTGAGAATGGGAACAGAACTCATTCCATGCGGGCAGCTCTCCCGTTTTCTATGTAACACAGTTCTCATTCCCACGATGGCTGTTTCTCCAATCCGCTTGTGAATTTAGTATTATTGTTTTGTTTTATGCGTATGGGTGTTTTGCCTACCTGCATGTCTGTGGACCACATGTGTGCAGCGCCAGCGAGGCAGAAGGGGCCATCGGATCCCCTGGGATTGGAATTACAGATGGTTGTGAGCTACCATATGGGGGCTGGGAATCGAACCCAGGTCCTCTGGAAGAACAGTCAGTGTTCTTAACCACTGAGCCATCTCCCCATCCCTGCTTTGTCCTATTTCTGAATACTTGAAAAAGCTACCTCAAATCTTCTTTGTAAAATATAATAAACACATTGTACAAACAGAACAGACTTACAGACTAGCACAGAACCTGTGCTCATGAATGCCTGTCTTGACTTCATGTGTGTAATAACCCATGTTTCTTTCATAGTTTACTGATGTGAATTTCTTTCTTTCTTTTTCTTTTTCTTTTTTTAATTTTTGTAGACAGGGTATCTCTGTGTAGTCCTGGCTGTCCTGGAACTTGCTCTGTAGGCCAAGCTGGCCTCGAACTCACAGAAATCCACCTGCCTCTGTTTCCCAAGTACGGGGATTAAAGGCTGTGCCACCCCTGCCCAGCTGATGTGAATTTCTTAAGACATTTATTATTTATTATAAATTTGTCTAAAGGCTCCTGGGTTAGTTAAAGAATGAATCATGCCATTGGAAAAGTCCTGACTGAGTAAAGGAAAAGTTAAGGAAAGTAGCATGTATTGGTATGATGTAACATTATACAGACATTACAAAATAATTTTCATGGAAAGTTTTAGCCATGGGGGAAACTACTTACATGTACAGGTGAAGAAAAGACATCCCCAAAAGTGTTCTTTCAGCTACATAGAAGAAGATTCAAAAGTCTGCGAGTCCACATCTGTAATCCCCATACTCGGGAGGCAGAGGCAGGAGGATCAGGAGTCATCCTCTAATGCAGTTACCTTTAAGTTGTAGGATTATGGAGATAATTTATCACAACCACCAAAACCAAATAAAAATACACATAGAAGCATTGAACAGGGGCTGGAGAGATGACTCAGCAGTTAAGAACACTGACTGCTCTTCCAGAGGTCCTGAGTTCAATTCCCAGCAACCACATGGTGGCTCACAACCATATGTAATGGGGTCTGGTGCCCTCTTCTGGCGGGCAGGCATACAGACAGACAGAACACTGTATACATAATAATAAGTAATCTTTAAAAAAAAAAAGCATTGAACAGACTAGAATGCTTAAACACTGCTACTACATGGCAAAAATCAAGAAAACACCTTTCTTCTCTATTTTTATTCTTTCTTGATCACACACACACACACACACACACACACACACACACACACACACACTCCCCATAAACATACAAACCTAAAACATGCGACTTACCCAGGATAGTTCCTCTGCTAATGACTATTTTATTTTTTTTTTAAGATTTATTGTAATTATTATTACTTATGTGTGTGTTTCTGTGTGAGTGCATGCCACACGTGTTCAGGGGGTCCAGATTCTGGACAGAGCCGGAAGCCGGATGAGGGCATTGGATCCCCTGGAGCTGGAGTTACAGGTGGTTGTGAGTCACCCCAAGTAGCTGCTCTGAGAACCAAACGCAGGCCATCTGCAAGGGCAGCAAGCATTCCTAACTGGTGAGCGACTCTCCCCAGCCCCACCCTCTGCCACTGATTGATGAAACATGGCCATAGCGCAGACCTTCGCCGGCAGTTAGGAGGGCGTCACTCTACACATGTACCAGACTCTCGACCAAGTCAATTAACATGGCAGCAGAAGCTCACAAACTGCTGTGTTGCTGAGCACTTCCCAGAAGACCAGAGCTGTTAGCTTCCCGTTACACACAGCAGTTAAGGGGCACAGCCGTGTGTTTTGTCACTGGCAACAGAACACAGTGGGGACAAGTGGCTGATGGGAAATGAAAAGCCGCTCATCATCGCCTGACAGGGTTGTGGAATCACGTAAATTGTAGTAAACAAACACCCACTAAGTAACTGCTATGGCCTATTGTAAAACGCAAGAACCAAAGAGGCATACTTTATCCCTTGCCACAGGCAGTTATGACCTGTGAAGCAGCAGGCTTTCCAGGGACAGAGTCCCCTGTTAAGGTGCTAAACTGGCCTGACCTCCTCCCCCTTACACTCACTCATCCAGCATAAGTGGCCTGGGGATTTGACTTGGAATTCTGGTCTTCAGACTTGCACCAAACCCAGGAACTCTGCGATACATGCCATACCCGGTGTTAAATTTGCTG